ATAATTTATCGTCTAAAGAAATGTGAGTAAAACTCAATTTTGTTGTAGCGATAAGAGATTAACGAAGAGATATAAGATAAAGTTCTTAATGTATAGCTTATTATTTCCGCCTTGAACTAAAAATTATATAATTTGTAAGGGATTAAGAATCTTAACTAACATCAAGACAAGAAGAAACAAAGCAGCTTGTCCAAAACCATAACACAATTACGAAAAGGCAGGGGATAAAATAATATATAGATATGGAAAACACATCAAAGAACATGGATGTTACATAGATAATGATGGCCGAGGGTTGCTGCTAAGTACTGGTGTTTCCTTCACTTGTGTACTACAGTCTGTTTGAGCTTGAACAGGCAAGCAACCCAGATTATTATCCATATTCTGTTCTGTGCTCTTTCCCCACAAAACACTGTAAAGGCTTATCACTAACAAGATTGCCCCCAAAACACTACATCCACAATAAGATATATAGTCACATACCCCATTTTTTAAATTTAAAGGCATATGACATTTTAGCTGTCTTTTCTTTAACTTGAAAACAATATTATCATCCACTGCCTTGTTTTTTAATCAAAATAATTGATAGACATACATAAGAAGTAGAACTTTAAACCTCTGCTCCCTATACTAACAAAAAGAAAATTCACTCATGAATAGTTCATTTTTCACAATTTTAGTGAAGTTCATTTAGATAAAATAGTTTACCTTCCTAGATTAATGGTCTCGCCTAAGAGAAACACTGAGCCAAGAATTGTCATGACCAGATTCGATGGTGTCATCACAGCATGGAAAACTGGTCCTTTCATTGCAATAACCCATGCTTGCAAGTAGTATGCAACACCAGTCACGAAAATCCCCTGTTACAGATTAATGCAACCATTATAATAATGTTTATAAAAAAAATGAAATCACTGTAAAAAATGCAGAAGCAAGAGAGAGAACATCGGTTTTAACTATTTGATGCCTTTTTCCTTCTTCTTTTTATTTTCATTTATGTTGTCCTCCATCACTCAAAAGATAGATTTCTCTTAGAAAATTAGTAGTAGAAGAAGCTTCCTCTTTGCTTACACAATAAACTACTGCGAGTAGTCCAAGATTCCATCCCAGCTTCCACTGGTGAGGATCTCTTTCCAAAGCAATAGCAACAAGAAATGACTGAACTGCACTTGACAGGCACTGAATACTTGTGAAAGTAATCTTGGAAGGGTAGCTTTTCAAAATTTGAGCCTGTTATTATGAAATTACAACCATCAAATTGACAATTATAAGTGGCTTTCATTGTCACTAGTGGATGACTTTATAGATTGCGGAAGCAGTTCAATAATACTGATAACAACTGTTAGAGGAATGGTAAAATCTACTATTGAGCTTTCATAATGCGCAGGCCTTCAAGTTCCTACATATGACAGGGTAAAAAAAGAAAAAAAAAAAAAAGGGATTCTTTAGCCTGGGTCCTAGATTTTAAACTTTAGACATCATTTTAAAAAGGTGAAACTGAAACAGAGACCGTATTTACAAAAAGGAAAGAGTAAAAAAATCCTTTTCTAATTTCTCAAGAATAGGTGTTTTAAGGTTTAAGAACTCTTTCCGTGGACCTAATTACTAAAGCAAAAACTGTGAATATGAGAATTCTTAAGAAAATTGGTTAATGAGTGCGAAGGGCTACCTGAATTACAAGCCACAGGGCCCAACATATGCAGGAAACTAACAAGAGGAAACATCCTAGAATCCATTTTTTGCCAGAGGAAGCATGGCCATCAGCATGGTGATCTTGGCCGCTATGAGGTTGGAAATGTAAATGGCATAGAGGTTGCAAGACAGGACCTTTGTAAAAGGCTAGAGTAACAACGCCTGCCATGCTCACCAGTATACCTGCAACTTTTGCAATGCCGGGGACAGTTTTCACTGTCACCTTTTCCATCCTGTAGGGCAACCCATCATGCAAATGAGCAGTCTTAGGATAAAAATTTAACAGCACGTACGTCTTTGACACTGTCGTCTATGCGAGTAATAACTGATTGAAATGTAAATCCTAGTCACCAATAAGCAGGACAAGTCAATGCCTCGAAAGATTTCTAGTTGTTTTGCTACAATTAAAAAGTCTCGAAAGAATTTTAACTCTAAATCCTCTATGACTCTGTTTGTACGTCTCTTTGAATATCAAAAAGGGCAAAAAAAAAAAAAGAAAGAAAAAGAGAGAGAGAATTGGAATTTGGTGCCAAGAAGGGTGAATCCTATAATATAGATGGAGCCATGTCTGAAACAGGATCCGTTTAGTTCTTGAGCCACACAAATTTTCATAATATTCACCTTAAACCTTTCTTTAAAGAACATTAAAGGCAGGGATGCCAATAGGAATCAAATAGGAAGTTTCGCCAACTTAACCAAAATATTTTTGCCTAAATTTTATCCTTAGTATAAGCTTAATTGCTAAAGTAATAACTTTTTGAAAAGATTTACTTCAATTAACTACTTGTACCTAAATTTTACTTATAATAATATAAATATTACTAGTACGAAAGAGGAACAAAGCAAACTAGAAGGATAAGAAGAAATGAAAGGAAAGTATTACATACAGTATTTATTATTGTATTAAATATTTAAATATTAAAAAAAATTAAAACCTTAGAATAAAGTATTTAATTTTATAACTTTCAAATAAAAAAGTATTCAATGTTTCAAAAATCCATTAAGTCGCTACATGCATTATATTAATTAGTGCGCAATTTTAAAAGGTGCATGTATGACATCTATATATTCTTAATGATTTCCACAATCTCATTTTCTAAGATGATGCTAGTGTTATAGAAATTCCACTTATTTTACAAATAATGATTCCTATTCTTTCACTTATTCTAGAGATGTTCGAAGAACATTTTAATCTCTTCGTCATTCATTGCTTAATTTTACTGATTGACATTAAAGAAATTGTAAAGTATGTCATTAGTTTAATAATAAGTGTATATATTTCCTATTAAAAAAATTGAGTTCAAATTTTTATTTTTATTTTGAAATAGAAAAGAAGCAAATGAAAAAAATAAAAAATAAAAGCAAGGCAAAACCATAAGATGTAAGAAAAAATGTTAGTAGCACCTGCCTGAGTAAAACTGCAAAGGCAAATGTTATGACGGGAATGCAATTAATCGTGGCAGCACCAAGACTTGCAGATGTGTAAATGAGAGCTACCCCGTAAAGGTTCAAGGTTAAGGTAATCCTGAATATCGGAAAGACAAATAAAGCACATATTTCAGACGAATTTCATTCTTGAAATTAACAGTTAAAAAATTCATGAGCAAATTAATATTCGACTTTCGAGCAGAAAGGACATGAGAAATTTCCAATACCATACGTACCCCAGTAAAGCAAGCATAAAAATCTTGCAGAAGGTCAGTAATGAAAGTGGCTTAGCGCTTTTCCTGGAATGCAAAACAAGGAAGAGAGGAAAGTGGGCAATAGTAGCTTGGAACCATTATAAAAGAGATAAAGAAACTGAAACTCATTACCCTTCAAAAATCATGGCGAAAGGGGCTAAGAAAATAGTTCCAGCCACTTGTCTGTAGAAGACAAACACAGATGTGCTCATACCCATATTGAATGCTGCCTTGGAGAGTAAGGTCATGCCAGAAGAAAGAGCATGCACCAGCAGGGCCGCCAGGAAAGGTTTCTTTGAGCCCATTTTCTTCACTACCTTCAGGCTTCAACTACAACTGTCAGAGTACTTGAAATGATTTATATAGACATACCAATTAACAAATACTGTAGTGGATATGAACTTTTGATCAGAAAGCATATGCTTTTCTCTGTTGGAGGTGAAATTAGAGAGCCAGATGCAGAAAATTCTTGTTAGTGGTGCATCATAATCATATCATTTTGTTTGTTTTCTTGTTAGTGATGCAGAAAATACCTACTTTCGGACAGCAACAAGCCAACAACTCGGATTTCTTCTCACCTTATGTTCCTTGCAGCATCTTTTCTTCTGCTTAGAGGTCCATACTGGATCCGCAGAGGGAGCTTTTATAGGTCGATTCACTTGTTCCTTGTGACTTAAAAGATGGTGTCACTGTCAGTAGCAATGAGTGGTGCCAATTGCAGTACTTTGTGGGAGGTTGACATAGAGGTGGTGGTTGTAAACAAATTTATTCATACTGAATTCAAAACTCCATGGGCGATTTTGTCTCAATCATCAACAAGCTTGATCCACATCAAAATGGAATGAGCTTGATCACAGATTTCACTTTCTTTTCATGACACTCTCATTCTCATATGCGTTCATATTTACAAAACACAAGCAAACTGCACCTATTGCCTTTTATGAGAATGGAAACAATTTATTTATCTCGAGATTTAATTTCTTCACCAAAAAGAAAAATTAAACCTAAACATATAAGTTTTTATTTATTCCATATTTGTTTATAAAAAGGAAAAATTAAACCTATGATATACTACTTTATTTATTACATGTATCAAATTATCAATTCATTTATTCATGACCCTCACAGATGTGCAGAGATATTATCATGACAATTACAAAAGCCAATAATAATAAAAAAAAAAACCCAAACATATTACTATTTAGTCACATTTATTATTTCTCTTCTTCTTGACATTAGAGATTATGCCCTTGACCATAAGGTGCTTGATGTGATGTCCGAATTAATGACCAGACGAAGTACGTAGATGAGTCCTACTTTCATAACAAAGTTGACGTGTTTTTGGAGTTGGGTAAAAAAAAGAGAGGAATGCTTGCTACTGTTGTACGGATAAGTTGCGTTGTGTTTCTATACAATTTAACTTAATTATCCCATTACTCTTGCCATAAAACTATTAATGTTATAATTTTAGTTTGAATTTTTTCATGTAAATATTAATATGTGACTAAACAGATGACACTCACATATCAAAACATGTGGTTAATTTACGTCAATAATAAAGTCATGCATACTATATAGTATAACAATGTGCTTTAAGGGGGAAAAATGTGGAATGAATTTGATAAAGCATTTGTTTCCCAATATTTTTCCCTCTACTATATGCCTTCAAAAAGTATACTAATTGTAGCATGTCTACCTCAATTTTCATGCATACACATATTTTTAAAACCAAGGCATCTTCAATACATATTTGATCGTAAACTCTGTGGGTAGTGCTTTCGGTTTTTTGCACTGTGATTGTCTCATCAGTTGGATCTGTGTGCTTGGTCTGTACCCCAGGGCTGTGTCTCACTTTTTGTCTCGAGACATTGTTTTGTAACATTGCTATGCTCATCGTTTTGCTTAGGGGCAAGTAGCTATTTATCTTTTTTTGTGTTTCAAGTTTAAGAGTTTAGGTTTCATGATTTTCAGCGTCAATGGATTTTTGTGTGAATTTTCTGAAAGTATACAGATTTCCATTGTTCAGATCATATGTCAATATATCATAAAAAATCTATTACAATAAGTAAGAAATTTAATTCTTTTGATTTCTCAGGATTGTGTGGAACTGTGGAGTACAACTCAAAAAGGGAATATTCGTTAGTAAAGGTCAGCCAAATGAAGCTAGCTTTTGCTATAATTGATTAAATTTTTACCTATTTTCCATAGCCGAAAGAACAATTTATATCATTCAAAAAGTAAACAGCATAAGCACAAAAGGAAGGGACAAACATACACTAAAATCGTGTACTTAATTATTTGAATAAAGTGAGATTTAAATGCGCCCGGATCCCATGTATTGGTTTTTCATCCCTTCTTTAAACAGAATGGGATTCACAGAATTTTATGTCATTCAAAACACGTTTTATGACTGTGCCGGTGTCAAAGGCTTCAAAATCATGACGAATCTATTCATAATTTTCCAATTTACTAAGTAAAACAGAGAATTACATCACTCTCGTTTCTTACTCCCCCACTGTCACTCTGATATCTCGTTTTTCATTTGCAAGTTTGTCCAAAGATAAATTATGAGATTATACAAAGAGTGATCAGTAGCTAATAGCTAGAGGTAAGCAAATCAGTGGCGGTTGGAATTGGATCTTTCAAGTTCAGTCATTTCGAATTTTAGTATTTCATATTATTACGGATTTGGTTACAATATTATTTGAATAGTTGATTTTAAGAATAATAAAAAAAATTCAAGAAATAAAATATCATTTTCATTATTAAACTTTTTACGAATTTTTTTTTGGGTTATCCAATTTTGAAAAATAACGTTTTGATCACTAATGCTTATAAATATTATTTTTTTGATCACTTGATTGTTAAAAAAATAAAGACGGTCTAATTGGTGTTTTATGCCACCATATACATTAGTTGATATTAGTGCAGTCTCTTTTGTAAGTGTATAGTTTTTTAATACCCGGACCATGATAGTGTGCCATGAAAAATTTATTGCAACAATCAAAAGACTTGTAAAATAGGTCAGTTAATTTGTCCAATCATGAATGGCAAATGGGGATTTGAACCATTTTTGGTGTGCAAAATTTCTGTATTACAACTTAATGAACATGTAACAAACCTTTTAAATCTCATCGTGGAGTTAAAATTTTCCATTATTGATATATAGGATAATTTATGGAAAAGAAGAGGAGAAAAATATCCTAAACAAAACAAATTTTAAAGGTCCCAATATCCTGGTAACAGGTAAAAGTATATTATTAGAAAAAGTTCGTATTATTTGGTCACAGCATCTATCTGAAATGACAAGATATTCTATTAGTGTTTGCACCAATTCTAGTGCCCTCTTTCAACCCCATGAAGGAGGAAAAGGAAATTGAAAGAAACCCGCAGCTTTAACTTTCTTTTTTGTAGGGTAGGGGAGGAGAAGGGTTTCAACTTTTCAACCTATTGGCTTTAGATAAGGTTCTTTGTTATGCCATGCTTTTCAGATTTCTCAACAACTTAAACATGAAATCTACGTTAGCTTTATTTTACCAAGTCATCGCAATTTTAAACATCTGATTTACTTCCATTTGGAAATTTAAATAAAAAGATGTAATAATAATAGATAAAATAGTTTTATTTTTAAAAAAAAAAGATTTTTATTAACTTTATTGCTAACATACTATTTCAAGTCTCTAACTAATTGCCAAGTCGATCTTTCATGTCAATGATTAATACAACTATAAACTAGCAATAACATATGGGTTCTGTTACCAATAAAATCCATCTTAAAAAAAAAAAAGTCTTTTAACTAATTTAGATTACGAGAGACTTTCATGACATATTGGCCTGACTTGGTTGTTTCGGAGGAATCGGTAGCTGTTTTACTCGCATTGATCCTTTCGAAACCGTTCTGTGTGATTGATCACGGCAAAATGATGGAGATTGTCCCTCACCAGGAGTTGTAGCGGGGGAAGCTGATTCAGCTTGGAAGACAAAAGTGGTGCCAGGGCAGTTTTCAGCCGCTGTTTGCTTTTAAGATTCTTTGTTTTTTCCTTCTCCTTTAGTTGAGTGGCGCTTTTAAGAGTGTTTTTTGGCTACGGTGATTCTCTACCTCTAGCTTACTGGTGTTTGTCGACTTGGTTTGGAGATGTGGAGGGACACGTCATTCTCCTTTGCATTGTGGCCTGGTATCAGCTGTTACTTTTGTGCGTGGCTCAACTTCATGTTCCGGCGAGACACAGTGAAATTTTATTGCTGTTAACTAAAACTAGGACAACTTTGTTAGGTTCTGAAATTTCCAAAGGGCTATGTTGCTGCCATTCTTTGAGCGCAGCTTGCTGGATGTAATTATGCAGTTTTCAACCAGTCAAGGCAAACCATATGCCACTAAGAGTCTTCAGTTGATGAAGGACTTTAGACTCTAAATGGCAGTTTTAATGGCCGGATAATAAAATACCATCTTTCAAAAAAAAAAATGGTTAGTGAAGGTGAAAGAAGTTTGTACAATTTTCAAAATGAACAAACTAGTCAACAAGATTTTGGTAGCGTTACTGAACATAGGACCTATTGTATCCACCCAAGTAAAAAAGGACAAGTTTCCCCATGAATAATAACTTGGCAGCTTAAACGAAACCTCTACCACTAACTTTTCACGCCAAACCACCTATTAGAAACAAACAACAAAAAGGCACCCTATAAATCTCAAAAAGGCAGCCTGAATCAGCAGGACAGCCCATCACAGGAAGCATCCTTTCGCAACGCCACCATGTAATTTCCTCAGTTGACTGTCCCTACAGCTTTAGCAAAGAGATGAGCATATGCACAAAAGGGCTTAAATGAAGTCTTCTAAGCTAAGACTAACTCCACCACGAAGAGTAAGGGCAGTCTTCAAATAGAAAACCAGCTCCACACCAAAAAGTTTTGTCCATCAAAGCCTCCACCGGCTCCACAGTTCAGCCACCAACGAAGGAGAATCCCACAGCTCCATAAGATGCAAAACCACTAGCCACCCAAACCAACAACCACCATCAAGACGAACCTCTGAAACCGTAACAAACAGAAGCAGCTAGCCTAAAAAACATCCTTGGCACACCTCTACTTGGCCTTAAAGTCCCCCAACAGCAGAGGGACCCCTTCCACGAGACGCAATAACAACCCCATCCCCATGAAGCTCTCCTCAAGGTTCCTCAATGTCGCTGGGGTAATTTTTTGTTAAAACTCAAAAATTTTATCATGGCAAGATGAGCATTTCATGAAAGTAAAAAAGCAAGAAGAGAAAAATGTGTTTCCAAAAAGAAAATTTCTATGGTCACTATGGAGTATCCGTTGTAGTCACGAAGTTAAAAAAATTTTGGTATAATATTTGGAAAGAGTCCTTGAAATATTCTCCTATTCCCTTTATCAAGTTCATATACTTTTATTTTAAGTTAAATAAGCTCTTATAATTAACAATTGATTAATTATTATTAGACAAAATACCAATTATAATTTTATATCCACATAACACTGATATAGAAAGTAAAAAATACCACATGATCTCATCATCGTGTTATATCATTATCATTATAATATGTCAACATACATGACATATCAGTGCCGTATACTATAAAATGACAGTTTACATTTTGAATAACAATAATTAGTCAATC